AAAGGGAGGTAAGGACTCTATCATGGTTCTTGTCGATAGGTTTTCAAAAATATCCTACTTTATTCCTTGCAATAAGACGAATGACGCAATGCATATTGCTAATTTGTTTTTCAAAGAAGTAGTTATAATGCATGGAATTCCCCGTACAATTGTATCTGATAGGGACACTAAATTCTTGAGCTTTTTCTGAAAAAACTTTTAGGGAAAATTAGGGACAAAACTTCTCTTTTCTAACTCATATCACCCACAAACAGATGGTCAAATGGAAGTAACAAATCGCACCCTAGGCATCCTCCTTAGGTGTATTATCAAAAAGAATTTGCGTAGTTGGGAAAGTTGTTTCCCTCATGTTGAGTTTGCATAAAATCGTGCTATTCATAGTGCTACTAACATGTCCCCTTTTGAAGTAGTTTACGGCTTCAATCCACTTTCTCCAGTTGGCCTATTGCCACTACCATGTAGTGAGCGACAAAAATGTTAATTTCAGGGATCGGGGACAAAAGATTCAGGAGCTTCATAAGACAGTAAAAAAGGAAATTGACGCCACCAATGCGTGGAATGCCAAAGCTGCTAATCGTCACCGCAAGAAGATTGTCTTCCAACCCGGTGATTAGGTGTGGCTTCACTTACAAAAAGAGAGATTTCTGGCACAACGCAAGTCTAAGTTGTCCCCACGAGGCGATGGTCATTTTTAAGTCGTTAAACACATCAATGATAATGCCTACAAACTATACCTCTCAAGTGAGTATAATGTCCATGCTACATTTAATGTTGCTGACTTGTCTCCGTTTGATGTAGGTGACGAGAGGTTGATGGAACAACCTTTTCAAGAGAGGGGGGATGATGTGACCATCATGACGGAATCGAACCCAATCATAATTCCTCCTGGACCAATCACTAGGAGCCGAGCCCGTAAATTTCAATTGGCAATTACCAATAATCATGGGATTGCCATGAATTATAGGTCAATAATACTAAATAAGGTTGATTATAATAAATATCTCCTATATGATTTTATTTCCTTTAAAAGTGTACTTTCTTGTTTTAATTTTCCATGGTTCCTCTATAAAAGGTCTCATGATTATTATTGTAAGGAATATTCATTCAACAATGATATTTTATAAATTAGTTTTTATTTCTAAGAGCGATTCTTGTGCTTTTTTTCTAAGTGTAATCTTGAGTGATTCGGTTACATCTTCATATCCCCAAATCAAGTTGTTTTGAGTGATTTGAAACAAGTCGTGGCCTCTCAAATAGTACTGGAAATATTCTTGCCTTAGCTTGTATTGTCAGCTTGTTTAGAGGATTGTGAGACGTGAGCTTGATCTCTCGTGTTGCCTTCCCGACTACCTCTCAATTCAAGAGAGTCCATTTTATCCCCATTAATATAGATAAATATATCTATCCATCCATCCTTTGTTCTATCCAAATCTATCCAATATTGTTATTACATATTCCTGTGGAATTCGATCCGAACTATCATCCTTGGCAAGTTCACATCACCAACCGACGGACTATGTTACAATATACGAGGACTTGATGGAAAGCCTAGGGCGAGTGTCGTGGTTGTAAAGGTTACATTGAACTCATCCCACATTGGAAAATCACTCCACTTTCCCCTTCTCCCACTCCTATAAATAGGACCCTTAAGGTGCTTTGTAAGACACACCAAGCAAGAATATTTTTATGAATATTTACTCATTCCTTTTATGGAAAGTTATGCTTGATAGCAATACTTTCTCTTTCAGTCTAATATTTCATGAAATGCAATTCCATGGCATGCTCCATGGGGTTTAGTTTCAAAACTCGGGTTTGAGTATAAAGCCTCAAGTTCGTGGGATTTGGGGAAGGTGAAATAGCTCTCCAAAGTGTCGACCGAGGTGGTGCCTTCGTGGAGGATGGTTCGATGCTAGAAGGGTATCGGGTCGTGCTTACGTTAGTACTTACTTAGGTTTGCTTCTCTTTCGATTATCCTTTTTCTCGCTTTATTCATCCCTCTTAGTTAATTCGTTCTTTTCTTGCTTAATTAGTTTCTTTTAGTTATTTCTTTCTCATTGTTTATTAGTTAGTTTTGTTTAGTTAGTTTATTTTGTGTCTTGTGTAGTTGATCAATTTCGATCCATGAAATATATATTTAATTTTGGTATGAGAGCAGTTTGATCAATTTACACTATATTTATTCCAAAAATGAAAAAAAAAAAAAAAAACTCCTTTGACATCCTATCTTTTCATTCTTTCTTCTTGTTGCTTAGGTGAGCTTTTTATTGCATATCATTTACGTAAATATTTTTTGATCTCGAGTTTTGTCTTTGTTTCGGACGATTTGATCTTCTATGCTTCCTCGTGTACAACATGCACCATACATCCATATGCATTATATGAAATCAAGCTTGTGACTTTGTTGACGAGTTATTTTAATTGTACACTTCATGCTCTTGTTTGAGTTTTGCAAGTTTGTTTTTTGTTTGAGTTTTGTGATTTTGAGCTTGTCTAAGTTTTTAAAGTTTTCGGGTAGTTGAGTTCATTGTTGCTAAAAGTGAGGTTGAATTAATTTTGAGTTGGATGTTATTGGGGAAGTGTAAGGTTTAGTAAATGTAACATTTCCGTTAAAAAAAAAAACGAAGTTGCAAAAAAAGGAAATTTGCAAAGAAAAAAAGAAAACCAAAATATCCAAAAATAAATAAAATATGAAAAAAAAAAAAATCGAGCGGGAGGACTAGAGCAACTTTTTATTGATAATCTTGTTTGAGTTGTAGTTTTCTCATACGAGCTCCGTCTTTTGCATATGATATGTCATTGGAAAGCTTGTGAAGTGGGGAGAAAGATATATTAATCATTTGTTTTGTCAATTTGTAATTGATGTTGATTATTCAGTTTTGGGTTTTTGAGTTTTGATCGATTTTGTGCTTGTCATATTCATTTGACACATTTTAAAAGGGGTTGAGTGTAGTGGTGATTTCGTGGTTGTTGAGATCTAATTCAGCTTGTGTTTTTTGTTGACTTGCATAGTTTCGGCATTTGTGTGTTGTGTACGTTTGGTAATTCGTCCGTGAATGAATGAGCTTGGTTCTTTGCATTGCATGATTGACACTATCTTGAGCTTTCTTTGATTGAGTAGTGTTTTAAAGTTTCTTGTCCACTTTAAACACGCACGTCACTCAAGTTCCACCTTTACGACTCCATCAAGGCACACTTTAAGAGCTTGGAAACTCTATCCATTTGTCGAGAGGTATACACGAATGTGCAAGAGGAGGGTTGTGAGGACTAACTTTCAATATACATATATTAGTTTGTTATGGTGCAGGTATAGCTTCGTTGGATGATATATTGGCTGCGATAAATAAGCAAAGCAAGGATATGCGAGATATTAAAGACGAGTTAAGCGGATAGATGGATAGCATGACATCTCGAGTGGATCAGCAAGGTTGAGAGATACATGACCTACGGAGTCAAGTTGATCATGTTCGAGAGGAAATAGATGATGTTGTGGATGCTCGGACAAAGGCTTATGCAGAGGCCTTGTTAAGGAAGGTTGGTCAAAATATGGAAAAGAAACTTGATGAGGTTTGCGATAAGGTTGCTACTCTTGAAGAAAAGGGAAGTTATACAGATGCTAGATATGAAGAAATCCACCTTGGCAAGTAACCTATGGGCTCAACAAGTGTTCTACAGAATCGATCTATCCAAGTTGATGATTTTGGCAAAAGACGTCATACTAGTCCAAGGCCTACATCTATCCAAGGATGATGAGGAAGACGGGATGCTACCAAAGAGTTACTTGATGAATTTGACTTGGAAGAGGATATCTATGACCGAAGGAGCCAAGGTCGAGTTAATGAGGTTGATGACAACATGCAGTCCATCAAGTTCTCCATACCACATTTTGTAGGATCAGTTGATCCTAATGAGTTTATTGAGTGGAAAATCAAAGTGGAGATGACATTTGCATGTCATAATTACTCGGAACGCAAGAAAATTCAGCTTGCTGTTGTGGAGTTTGAGTATGCTCTTATTTGGTAGGAGAAGGTACAAGATGATATTGCAAGGTCCGGAATGCCTCCAATTGAGACATGGACAGCCCTTACTCAAGCTATGTATGCACATTTTGTGCCCCCGCATTATCGGATGAATCTCCTTCAGAAAATTCAGTTTGTAGTCCAAGGTAGCAAAACGGTTGAGCAGTACTACAAGGAAATAGATATGCTTATGATACAGGCTCAGATTGTGGAAGATGATGGAGTCACTATGTATCAGTTTCTCAAAGGGCTGAGGCGTGATATTATGGTTCAAGTGTATATGTATTATTACAGTTCTACTTTGGAACTTGTGCAACTTGCTACGAAGATTGAATCCCATGGAAAGGTAGGAGTGAGTTTGAGCTTTGGAAATGCGTCACCAAATTTCAACAAATTTGGGGGTAATATGGGACCAGCAAAATCATGGCCCAAAGGAGATGATAAACACACGACCAAGAATGAGCCGCTTAAGGTGGATAAGTATGATGAACAAATGAAAGTCAGCAAGGATGGTTCACCAAACAAAGCAAATGATGTCACATGCTATACGTGCCAAAGGAAAGCTCATTACACCAATGCATGCCCTAATGTGCAAATTATTGCACTTTGTGACAATGGAGACTATGTACTTTTGTCGGATGATGAGGATGAGATTGGGAACATGAGGTTGAGGCAAGTGAGGATGAAGCAATCCAAGAGATGGAAGAGCAAGTTGAAGAAGATTTATCCGGGGAGTCTCTAGTGGTTTTGCGAATGCTTGGTGCTGTTTCAAAGGAGTCGGAAAAATTTGTTGATCGGGTTAAGGAGCAATGGGAGAATTTGTTCCATTTTCGGTGCAATATTGGTAGAAAGCAAGCATCGATGATCATTGATAATGGAAGTTGCACCAATGTCGTACGTTGGTATGTAATAGACAAGTTTGGACTCCAAACTATCAAGCATCCGACTCCATACCATCTTTAATGGATGAACTATAGTGGAGATATGAAGATTACTAGGCAAGCCAAAGTTCTTATTTCAATCGGCCTCTACAAAGAGGATGTCCTTTGTGATGTTACTCCAATGACCGCATGTCATGTGCTTCTTGGCCAACCATGGCAATCCGATAAAGGAATTATCTATGATGGCAAGACTAACAAAGTTAGATTTTATGACAAGGGCTACAAGGTAATGATTCCTTCTTTTCCATTGAAGGAGGTTCGAAAAGATCAAAAAAGTTTGCGAAGGAAGATTCAAGAAGCTGAAAGCCTTAAAAGAGCTAAAGGAAAAGAAGTATTCAAAGAGGAAAAGATAGAGTTGACTTCTAAGGCTTCCAACATCCTTCTTTCACTTACCGATTTTCAACGAGAAGTTGGTGACCTAGATCATCAAAATGGGGGTTGTTTTATGTGGTTATGCAAAGATTTATTTCATTCTGATAAAGATAATCTACTCACTAATTTTTCCATTTCCTTTGCTAGGATGCTTGAAGAGATGAAGGATTTATACCCGGAGGAACTACTAGAAGAACTACCTCCCATTCGTGGGATAGAGCATCAAATTGACTTCATACACCGTGCTTCAATTCCAAATAGTCATGCGTATCGGTGCAACCCAGATGAGAATAAAGAGATTCAAAAACAAGTCCAAGAACTTCTTGAGAATGGATGGGTTCGGAATAGCTTATCACAATGTGTTGTTCCTGTTATCATTGTCCCCAATAATGATGGAATATTGAAGATGTGTGTGGATTTTAGACTGGTGAATGCGATTACAATTAAGTATCGACACCCAATCCCATGCCTCAATGGCTTGCTTGATGAGATCAATGGAGCGAGAATTTTCTCCAAGATTGACATTCGGAGTGGATAACACCAAATTCGTATGCAACTCGACGATGAGTGGAAAACGGCATTTAAAACCAAGCTAGGTTTGTACGAATGGTTTGTAATGCCATTCGGTTTAACAAATGCTCCTAGTACCTTCATGTGTTTAATGAATCATGTTCTGCGTGTTTTTATCGGTAAATTTGTTGTAGTCTACTTTGATGATATTCTTGTCTATAGTAAAAGTGAAGAGGAACATGTGGAGCATGTGCAACTTGTCTTTCAACGGTTAAGGGAAGAACAAATCTTTGGTAATTTTAAAAAGTGCATATTCTACACTAATGAAGTTGTTTTCCTTGGGTTTGTAGTTAGCGAGGATGACTTGAAGGTTGATGAAACAAAACTAAAGGCAATTAAAAAATGGACACCTCCAATGAATGTGGGAGAAATTAGGAGGTTTTTGGGAATATGTGGATTTTTTCGGGGGTCCCATTGCTACCAAATTTTGAGAAGACCTTTGAGCTTGAGTGTGACGCTTCGGGCAAAGGCATGGGTGCCGTTTTGCTTCAAGAACGTCGATCCATAGCCTATTATAATGAGAAATTTGGAGGGGTTGCCTTGAAATACTCTACATATGACAAGGAGTTGTATACGGTGGTACGGACTTTAAAGACATGGAAACATTATTTGAAGGTTGATAAAACAAAAGTAAAGGCAATTAAAAAATAGACACCTCCATTGAATATGGGAGAAATTATGAGGTTTTTGGGAATGTGTGGATTATTTCGGGGGTCCCATTTAAATGGGAACAAGCACACCAAGAAGCGTTTGAGATATCGAAGGCAAAGCTTACTCAAGCACCAGTACTTACGCTACCAAATTTGTAGAAGACCTTTGAGCTTGAGTGTGACGCTTCGGCCAAAGGCATGGGTGCAGTTTTGCTTCAAGAACGTCGATCCATAGCCTATCATGGTGAGAAATTTGGAGGGGCTGCCTTGAATTCATCTACATATGACAAGGAGTTGTGTGCGGTGGTACGGGCTGTAAAGACATGGCAACATTATTTGATGCCACGAGAGTTTGTGATATACACCGATCATGAGAATTTGAAGCACTTGAGGGGGCAACAACAACTAAATCGAAGGCACATACGATAGGTATCTTTTATTGAGTCATTTCCATACAAAACGGTTGATGGCTCAACCTTCTGAAGGGGGAGAGGATGACATGGATATGAAAAGATCGGGACTTGCAATTTCGTATATTCCAATCAGACCAGTCTTGAGAGCTCGAGCGAAAGCGTGCATTGAAAAATTACAAGGACTGATAAAGAAATTAGATAATTGGAGCCCAACCGACGGACTACGTTACAACATGTGAGGACTTGATGGAAAGCCTAGGGCGAGTACCGTAGTTTTAAAGGTTACATTGGAGCTAGCAACGCCTCAATCGGACAACTAACGGAAAAGTTGTGCAAACCTATGAGTTTGCTAAAATAGAGGGTTTAATATGTAATTATACAAACCTAGGTTTGCACATGCTCAAGTGGGGGGACCATCCATTGGGACCACTTATCATATATATATATCTATATTTGAACTTAGGACCCACCCTAATGAAAAGTTTGAATTTATAGCATTTTTGAATTTTTTTTAAAAAAATTTGATTGGTTAAAATATTTGATTGGTTATTCTGTTTAATTTATAAGACATTTATTTTAATATTAATTATAAATTAAAAAAACTCTCTCCCAATCCCTAATTTAAAAAACTCTCTCCCAAACCCTAATTTGTTCTCACAACCATCGTCCCTTCCAAAACTCTCTTTCCGTCTTTTATCTCCAGATTTTGCCATCCGTCGCAGCTACACGATACTCCAAAATCTCATCCTGCACCGCCCCCATTCAAAACACTAGTAAGATTTATTTACATTTTATCTCTTTGTTTTTTTTAAAAAAATTTATTTTTGATTCTCTCCAACATATATTTGCAAATCTGCAGACGTTTCACAACCATCGATCCATATCTCGCTGCACGCCACTCCACCCCTCACGGTTTTGAAGCTCTATCGCTGTTGCTTGATGGAATTATGGGTAATTTTTTTGTTTTTTTTCCTTTTTAATCTTAATCTATTTTCACACATATAAAAAAAATTGAGTTTATACGAATTTTTTTTGCTCTTCTCATTCTTTGTTTTTAAGATTTGTTTTTTGTTATTCTCTTTATTTCTTTCTTTTTTAATGTAGATCTACTTCCACACATGTAAAAAAAATGAGTTTATACAATATTTTTTTGTTCTTTTCATTCTTTTTTTTTCTTTATTTTTTTCTTTGAGTCTTTCTCTGGCAGTGCTAAAATGTGCCATTGTCCTTTTTGACCTAAAACTGTGATGTCCAACCCTGTTGTGTTGTGCAGAACCGCAGATGAATGGTGCCCGATTGTTCAATTGTGGATGTACGGGAGAAAGGTATTCTTTTTTCAAAATATAAAATTATAATTACAATGTAATTAAAATAGATTGAGTATCAATTTTATGTATATAGCTGTTAGAAAAAATTAATATGTAAATTATAATAATAACTTATATATTTTTTATATAATTAAATATGTTTATGTTATATAATTTGATTCTAATAATTATATTATCTATTTTGTTATAAATATTTTAATATAGATACAAAAGAGTAAATAAATTAAATTATGTATTAATTATACAATACATTATAAATATAAATAAAAATTATGATAAATTGTTAAAGAAGATATAGATTTTTCGGTAATCATTACTTTTTCTGAAAAATTAAACACTTTATTTTTATTTTTAAAATATAATTCTCATGTTGAAGATGCAGATGTTTTTTTTATATAATAACTACTTACTGAAAAGTTATAATAATTATTTTTTATAATTTTTTAAATACAAGGAGTTGCAGAGTTTTTCTATGCATTCAATATTATTTAAACATCTCATTTTAACTTTTCACTTTCATTTTTGTTTCTGTATATGTGCCTTTATCTTCTATCTTCTGCACTATCTTCTTTCTACTAAAAAAATCTCTAATTCTCACATACTTTTCTACATCTCACCATGTCATACAATTCTTACATAACATTAGATACCTTCTCTTCTTCTCTTATCTAAAATTATTTTCTACACAGTGTTCCGGCATAATTTCACCTTCCAAAGGTTTACATTTATAATTATATTAGTGTTTGATTATTAGACTATTTGGACAATAATCATAGTCCTTAATTTTGTTCTTATGAAGTATTTCTTTGCATTCAATATTATTTAAACATCTCATTTTAATTTTTCACTTTCATTTATGTTTTCATGCTTTTTTCTTCATCTTCTCTTCTTCTGCATTCTCTTCTTTGTACTAAAAAAAACTCTAATTTTCATATACTTTTCTTTCATACTTGAACGACACTATATCTCGCCATGTCATACAGTTCTTACATAACATCGGACACTTCTTTTCTTCTCTTATCTAAAATTATCCTCTACACAGGGTTCCTGCACAATCAATTGTTAATATTTTTGAATTATTTTTTAGTTTGTTTACTTTATTTTTTATTTTGGCATTTTTATGTTTAATTTTTTTATTTTCTCAAGTAGCACTTGACTATCACGAAGAGGCGTGAACATAATTTCACCTTTCAAGGTTTACATTTATGATTATATTAGTGTTCGATTATAAGACTATTTGGACAATAATCATAGTCCTTAATTTTGTTTATATGAAGTATTTATGATTACTTAATTTTTGCAGGTTGCAGTGACATTTGAGATTTGATGAGTACTGTTTAAGCCGGACATTATTTTTGTACCGAAGGTTTTTTGTTATTATTTTTATTTTAATATTTTTACGACTTTGTAATTATTTATATTTCCATATTCTCTTGATCAGTGGATGAATCACTGCAATTGGCATTGATCATAAATGCACGATGTTTGAAAATACTTTTCTTTCCTTTCGTAAAATATATTTATGGTTTTACATTTGTTATTGGCATCATCATCTTCTGATGTTGGCAATATTTGTGCTTTTGAAGGTAGTGGGTATGTTATTATAAAATTAGTTGATTTTTTTTAATAAATAATATGTCACTTACAAATATGAGATATATATATTTTTGGTACCCACTTATGTACAAAAATCTTTGTTGTTGAAAGTTGTGATAAAATATTTGCGAATAATATATTTAATTATAAGTATAGAATTTAAGTACAAAAGAAAAATATAAAGAACTCTATATAATTCTATAAGGAGAATTTGTTTAAAAAATTAATTATTAGTTTATTTGTTAAATTATTACCAGTTTTTTCAAAGTATAATGTACTAATATCAATTTATTTTGTCCAAAAACAGAATATATTTCATAAAATTAGCGGAGTATTTTTAATGAAATCTATTCTTACAAAGATGAGACATATATATTTTTTTTATCCACTTATGCAAATAGTCTTTGTTAAAAGTTGTAATAGAATATTTGTAAATATAATATTTAAATGTAATTATAGAATTTAACTATAAAAGACATATAACATAATTGTTGATGTATTTTTTCAACAAACAAAAAGTAAAATTCAATGATATGGAAAATATCTTTAAACTTGATTAATTAGTGCCTGAGATTAGGAATCTCTAAACACTGTACGGTACATAAGAAAATTAACTAGAAAATAAAATGCTGAAAATTTAAAGTGGTTATCTCCAAATCTGACTTTGCTTTGATGAAGTTGATTGAAGATAGCTTCTCCAGAAAAATCCAAATCTTTAAATACTCCCTGAGAAACTGTACTGGAAACCGTCGCCCAAATGGTTGCAACGTCTCTTTTTCAACCGTCTGCTAAGCCTTCTCCTACTGACACGTGCCCCCAACCGACCACAGGATCATTCTCATTTACTCTCAACAGTATCCGCCTCTTTGGACCGACCGCAGACCCTCCGCTCTTTTGGCCCGAACGCAACTCTTCCATCTTGTTAGTCTGACTACTAACCTCCCGACTTGCAGACCACCCGACTTGTTTGGTCCAGCTGCA